CATCGCGTCCATCATCTCTGTTCTGATCAAGTGCTGGCAGTGATCATTTATTTTATTGGACATACCCAAGACTGTGTTGATAGCCTCACTGTCACAAGCTGCCTTTCTTCCTCTGACAACCACGTAGTCAACTGCTTTGAAAGACGATTAACAGCCTCTTCCGTTGAGGTACCAATGCACTGTATGCATTGTAAAATTCTCTGGCCCAACTTCGTATATAAGAGCCACGGGGTTTCGTGAAGATTTGGAATTTGTGATATTTCAGGCACTCTATTATATCGGGATACCTATCGATCACCCCATCTATGGACATCAATTTTTCCTCAATGATCGTTCTCAGCCCCTCAGACTTTAATCTATTCATTGATTTAGGTGAGGGGGCTTGTAGTAGAGGTGCCAATACTATTGCCTGCTCTGAAACTAGAGGAGTCGAAGTGGTGGATTAAGGATTTTTTATCCGAGATGGGTCGTTTAGTTGTTTAGATCGTAATTCGTTCCTCTGTGCCTCCATCAGTTCATCTTCATCTGAACCCATACTCTCACTGTTATATGTTGTTGGGTCATTGCTGTAAAAACCAGTACTATCGGAGCTTGCATCTGATAGCTCAACGGTTTTTTCCTTGCCCTTGCCTTTCCTACCAGTTGTGGAAAGTTTAGTGGCTTTGTTCATGGATGCAGTTGCATCCTCATTGAGCGTGATCCCTTTTTCTTTGCCTCGGGATGGTGTGTTGCTATCTGCTTTGTTAGGTTTAGTCATATCTGCAAAAGATTGGGAAGAGTTAGGAGAGAAATCAAGTAGAAGCATAGGCAATCTTCTGCAGGAAAACTCGCCAAGTGGATCGGCGAGTCGCCGAACCTCTTTGGCGAGCTAACTCGGGCTCGCCAAAAGGGTTGGTTTCAAATCATAGCAAGTCGGCGATGGGAAGGTATTTTCGGTGAGCAAGGGTTTGTCCGCCGAAAGTTACAGTTCATAAGGGTCTCAGGAGGCAAATAAAGAGCGATAAAGAATACATTCGGTGATTCGCCGAGTGCATTCGACGAAGGCAGGCATCTCGCCGAAAGTTGCAGACTCAAACCACAAACTTGACACGAAATTAAATGCGAGATGAAGAAAATAGGCGAACCGCCGAGTGATTCGTCGAGCTAGACTTAGCTCGCCAAATGGCCCAACGTGCCCATTTTCAATCCACCATCTAGAATTCAATCCCACAAACCCCTAAAACAAAATCAAAGCATGTAGTAAAGAAATTCAAACAAGACCCGCACTGCCTATTGCCCTGGGATACTCAGGCTTTTCCCGGATTTGCCAAACTTGGTCATTTGATGATATTTGCTCTTAAGAGTGGTGTCCCCTGCTCTATCATTGAGCAGTTCTCGTTGTTTAGCACAAACAATAGCCACTCAGATTTCACCCAATCAATTTAAACAGCACGAAGCACAACCCAATACAATTTCACTCATTTAAAACACACAAGTTATGAGCATTTGACTATCAAATCAATACGGGCAAGATTTTCAGATTTAAATAGGCATTTAAGCATTCTAATCCTATCAGAGAGGCCCAACACACATCAATAATATACGATCATTGCAAAAGAGTACAAACTATTCGAAAATAAATTTGGGGCTCGGAGAACTGACCTGTTGTGCCGATTAAAATGAGATTGAAAAGCTAGGCAGCAAAGAAATCCACTTCCGAGCACAAACCAACTAACAAAAATACTATTATAATTCTAAAATAGGGAAAATACTACCTTGGTGTGAGTTTGTGAAGGTTAAGAGCGAGGGAAAGTGAAGGATTTCAAATTCTAGGACTCTTTGGCCATTATAAACCGTCCAGTGCGTGCGCATTCGGTGACATTAGTCGCACTCGCCAATCTAATAGGTGACACGCCGAGTGGTCGTTTGGCTCGCCAAGTTTTTCAGAACCTTCAGTCAGAGTGAGTGTTCAACCTGCGGTCTTCATCATGATCACCAACCTGTTTGGCGATTCGCTGAATGGAACTATTAACTCGCCAAACACAATTTTCACCCACTCTCCCCACTTTAACCTGTACATTCTACACACCGTTATTTCTGAGAAAACAATAAAGCATTTAAAAAGGTTTTAGGTTGCCTCCCAAGCAGCGCCTTAGTTAACATCGTTGCACGATGCATGTCAGCTGTCAAATTCCATTTTGGGGGTCAGCTATATTATCAATAAGCAACCCCCTGTTTTGTTACGAGTGTAGATCGGGCGGCGCATGGCCCATAAGGTTCTCGAGCAGCTAGACAGCTCTGGATTGAGATCAAATCTATCCCTTCATCCCTTCAATGTCTTCCTTCATTTCTTCCAGCTTTTTATCTTACACAGTTACCTTGTGGAGAATGATTGAGAGCATGCCCTCAAGGCATTTAACCTCATTGTCCTTGGGAATTATTCGCTCATTAGGAGGGATATATTTATCCTTACTTTTTTACTGGACTTCGATCTTCACCATCTTTTTGGCCAACACATCAATCTGAGTCATTAAGGTGGCCAACATGAAGTCTTTCTCTACCTCTTAGTGCATTTCAACCATTTGATTAAATAGTTGGCCTGCTTTCATATATGACTGCTTTGCAAGGCCTCCCGGAATGAGTTGGTCGACCTACCTCTTGTTTCCGGGAACAAGACTTTTGTAGAAGTAGTCCAGGAGTGCCATATTAGGAATGTTATGAGTTGGGCATTGAGTGATCAGGTCATTAAACCTAGCCCATGACTTGTAGATCTGTTCACCTTCCGATTGCTTGAAAGTGAGGATACGATCCCATAACATTATTACCTCTAATGTAGGAAACCCCATTAGCTCCCGAGTACTGCTCGTCATGCTCGCTTCCTCTGCTTGGTTACAGACAAATCAACAAAACTAAACTAAAAATTAAATTAGTAAACTACGACTATGAAGAACAAAAAATTCTACTAATCTAAAAATTCTCAAATAACACCACTCCCCGGCAGCGGCGGCATTTTGATATTTGTGTAATCAAGACACAACTTCTGATGCAAGTGTCTACGATCGTACAATAGTTTAGTAACCCAACCAAGGGTTGAGATCGTCCCAAAAGAGTGGTTTTGAGAATTTATAGTAAAATAAAATTTCGTTCTAACTATTCGTAGCTAAATATATTAATGAGTAAAAACATTGTAAATTAAAGAGGGACACAAATGTGTCAATTAACAATGGGGGAATTTTGTCACAAGTAAGGTAAAAACAGCAAAATAAACAAGGGTTTCTAAGCAATGAGAAGTGATCTTTGGGATGTGACGGGAATACGGGTTAAGCTAGATTATTGGGTACATGCTTTTGATAGAAGATTCATAGAGTAATTATTACTAGGCTAAACTTTAAGGGGGATAAGCTCTCTCTCGAGCAACTTACCCTGTTTCGAACGGGTTCCTCTCGGACACCCACTTGCCACATGAAGACCAGCATACGGCTTAACCAACTCAATCTCTTGAGCTGAGTGTGTGGAAATGGGACTAGGGTTCACTCTCTCGAGCTGAACCTCATGTCGACCCACTCACACTGGCCATCAATCTAGTGGTCTTAGTTTTACGACCTGTCTCTCGAGCAACCCGAAAACACATAAATAAACTTGTATTTGCGACTACAAATTCATTTAATTCATTCACAACCACTAAACGAAATCACAATTAAACTACGATTAAACTATCAGCAAGCAAGACCCAACAATTATCTTAACCCATATTTGCTAAATTACACCCCAAGAATTGAGGTTTTTAGCCACACATCAAGAGATAGAAATTTATACCTAAATGAACTTGCATTCACTACAATAAGTGGAGACACAATCACATTTTCTAAATGTCGTATTATGATGTTTTAATGTCACAAATTTGTTTATCCACATTTATTTTACATTTGGACAAAATGTCGTAAATTTTTGTGTCGGGGATTTTTCCGACATTTAGGTAATTGTCGGGACAAATTTGTGACATTTATTTTGGGACATTTAGATAAATGTTGAAAAGAATTTGCGGCATTTACTTCGCAACATATATGTAAATGTTGGTAAGATTATTACTACATTTATTTTTTGACATTTATGTGAATGTCGATAAGAAATATATGACATTTATTTTTGACATTTAGGTGAATGTTAGTATGAGATATATGACATTTATTTTTGATAAATAGGTAAATGTCAGTATGAGATATATGACATTTATTTTCGACATTTAGGTAAATGTCGATATGAGATATTATATGACATTTATTTTTGATAATAATGTAAATGTTGGTATGAGATATATGAAATTTATTTTTGACATTTAAGTAAATGTTGGTATAAAATATATGACATTTATTTTTGATAATTAGGTAAATGTCAATATGAGATATGTGACATTTATTTTGACATTTAAGTAAATGTCGGTATGAGATATATGACATTTATTTTTTCGACATTTATGAAATGTCACTTAAACTTTCTGAGATTTAGATTAAATGTTGGTAAAACAAATTTCAAGATACTTGTGACATTTATACATTAAAATTTCTGACACTTTAGTTAATGTCAACAAATGCTATTATTGAATGTCATATAATTGGTGACATTATTTTATAGTTTGCTAAATGTCATATTCATATTCTAATGTCGCTACCAAGTTTCTTTAGACATCCCAAAAAATTCTATATATAGTTTTTCTCAAGACACAAATACATACAAACAATTCGTACATTCAAAACTATCTACTTCATGACAAGCAAGAAATATTATGTAAAGCAAATATTTTCTAATATTATAATTGAAGAACAAATAGCAAAATAATTTTTCTGTAAAAGTAAACAATGTCAAAACAAATTATTTTTTCTATGTCAAGAAAAATTGAGATCTAACTAAATGCAATAATCTCAACATAAAACCAACTAATTAACTCCTAATTCAAATGGAATTAAAATCTCTAGTAAATTTGCAATAAATCTTTATGAAATCATCAATCCAAAAGTCGAGCATGTTGAAGTCGATACTTGACCTCAATTTCCTTAAAAATTCTGCACAAGAAATTCACATAAGAAAATTTATAACTATATAATAATAGAAATTAGATCCCCATTAACTAGAACAAATTGGGTTATAAAAAATGACGAATTGAATTTTTCTAAAAACAAACATTTAAGGAATTTGATGCAAAATCAATTAATTATATACATGAAATTTTCTTCCTTTTGAAAGAAAAGAAAGATCTTGTAGATTTTTCAAAAATACCCACTTCTTTTTATTTGTGTCAACTACGGTAGTTCCAGTCCTCTTGATGATGTTAGCCTGAGAAAAAACATTAAATTGATTATTTTGATACTTTACGAAATACAAAACTTAACATTTCATTAAATACATAAATGTGCCAATTTTTCTAGAAGGAAAATAAAAAAAAGGAAGATATATGATTGCTTCAACAAAAACTTGACAATTATATTCATGGAATAACTCCGACAAAGCAAGTCACTATTGAAAATTCACATATTCAAGTAATAAGCAAGCAGATCACAGATAGCTCGTCCAACAATTCCTCGAATTTGCGAAGAAAAGAAGCAGTCCACATCGCAATTTCAGAGAAAGAATTAGATTGGGCTCGAAAAATAATTTCCCTAGAACAAGATGGTTTAATTCATGTTAATGTTGATGGGGAAATCGATTCTAATAGTTCTATTGGTTTTGTTGCTCTCAAACATTTCCCCTGGGAACATGTATGAATACACGCTCTAGAAACATTTTGGTCATTTCTTAATTTAGGGCACCTCATGAAAATGACGAGCATGTGAACAGCGCACTACACGTCGAAAGTACAATACTTACCTGCAATTATAGGTTTATTGTTCATACAATAAACTGTTCATATGACTGTCAAACTAAAACTTTCACATTCTTCTTAGGTTTGCTGAAGTCAAATATAGAATATGCAGAAGAGAGATTTAGTTTACAAACACCAACTCCGCAATAACAAACTCAGATACTCTCTAGTGTCAGGGTTGTGCTAGAAGCTACAAGTACCAAACTAGAATTACTAGTACAGTTATGTCAAGATAATCTAATCAACTACTACATCTCAGATCCAAACTATTTGGTGAATGAATTAGAAGTCCAGAACATAAAGTAACTGGATGAGCATTGTTGCAGATATTCATCCAGAATCTAACTAAAAGAATTTGAAAGCCTAATTAAGCACAACTCAATATGCACATAACATCTTGCATAGAGGTATACAATAAAATTTAATCTTCTTTCTATGGAGGTTTAGTCGAGTCATAATTATATCTCACTTAAGATATTCTATGCAGAATGCATCCCAGAAGAATCATCAACCATATATGATATTCTAGAACCTTGGACATAATTATGCTCTATAGATCTACTACATTCACCAACAATAAAGTTATTAAACATAGTGTCACTTACAATTAAACTTGATTTGAACTAATTCCACTAACTAAATCCACCAACTAAACCACATTATATATTTGAACTTATTTAAACAACTCTAACTAGTTTTGACTTAATTCCAACAACTAAATTCATCAACTAAACCACATTACTTATTTGAACTTATTTAAACAACTTAACAATTTTTTAACTCTAACTAGTTTTGACTTGATTTGAACAACTAAATCCACAAACTAAACCACATTATTTATTTGAACTTATTTAAACAACTTATCAACTTTTTAACTCTAACTAGTTTTGACTTAATTCATCCAACTAAACCACATTATTTATTTAAACTTATTTAAACAACTAAATTTTTTTTTTTAACTCTAACTAGTTTTGACCTAATTTCAACAACTAAACCACATTATTTATTTGAACTTATAAACAACTTTTTAACTCTAACAAGTTTTGACTTAATTCCAACAACTAAATCTACCAACTAAACCACATTATTTATTTGAACTTATTTAAATAGCTAAACAACTTTAACTAGTTTTGACTTAATTCCAACAACTAAATCCACCAACTAAATCACATTATTTTAAATAATTAGTCAAACTAGCTAGGGGTTAATTAAACTTTATTTGGACTTATTTCAACAATTAAACAAGAAAAAACTAAATTTAAACATAAGTGTCAAAACTAGATAGACACAAATCGATCTTGCAAGAAAATTAATTTTGTCATGAATAGGATCAACTAGTGTTGGCACTTGTGCTTAACAAACACATTATTCCTAAATTAAAGCTTAATATCGACACTTTTGGACACAAATCGATCTTGCGATAAAATCAATTTTGGCATCAATAGATCAACTAATGTTGGTACTTATGCTTAACAAACAAATTATTCCTAAATTAAAGTTTAATATCAACACTAGATAGACATAAATATATCTTGCAAGAAAATAAATTTTGTAATCAATAGGATTAACTAGTGTTGGTACTTATGCCTAACAAACACATTATTTATGTATTAAATCTTAGTATCAATACTAGATGGACAGAAATCAATCTTGCAAGAAAATCAATTTTGTCATCAATAGATCAACTAGTGTTGGTGCTTATGCTTAACTAGGATTCTCCTATTTTCAATACTTCCTCTCTTTTTCCCTAGTTATTGTGATGTATATGTTACCATGATTGTGAATAACGCCAAGCCAATTAAAATTAGTTAGTGTATGTTTTTGTGTGGGTCTATCAATGTACAAAAGGTTTAAGTTGAAATATTTTTTGACAAGGTAAATGCCATACGTTAAAGTTAAAATATTTTCCTAGCAACTTCATAATTCATAATGTGGAACAGTTTGCTTTATTCTTCCTGGTTTTCTGTACTCCTAAAAAGATTCCCAAAGTTTTCTAATACAGCTTCGTAAGAGAAACTTAAATGGTAATAGAAATGACAGTAGGTAAAGTAACATTTAGATTTAGCTCCATGCAGCTAAAAAGATAAGAGATGATGAAGCGTGTATCAACTGCAAAGTGCCAACACCTAATAAATAGTGATGTCAAAGTGCAGGATCCTAATATTTCTAATACATAATTATTCGAGCTAGCTTAAAGAGAAATTAGTTACCTGTAATCCTCTCCTACCAAGTTGTTTTACAGCCAAGTCAATCTTTTTAGCTGAATCCTCACCAGTCTTTACTGTGGCCTTATATACACATCAAAATCCACCTTCCCCAATCTTGGTAGTACGATTGAAATTCTTCGTTGCTGCTTTCAGTTCTGAGAATGTAAATTCCCTGAGATCGGAAGTCTATCTGACAGGCTTGAAATTTGGCTCCTTTCTCTAGAATCTGTGCTGGTATCTGATACATTCTAAGAGCTGGACTCACGATGAGCATGCCGAAATTCACTATCAAAAAGACCAAAAGAGGAGGACAGAACTGGATTTGACTTCAGCTGGTGAACAGCAGCTGGAGCTGCTACCTGATGGACTTCGCGGCATCTTCGCCAGTGGAACTCCATCGGAGATGGGGCGGCTGCTGCAAGAGGCGAGAGAGGGGAAGGGAAGATCGACGGAACAGAGGAGGAAAGGAGAAGAGGAAAGAGGGGAGAGGAAGAGAGGGACGTCACCGCCTCTGCTGGCCTCGCCAAAGTGGCTTCGCGGGAAAGGAGGAGAAGAGAAAGAGCGGCGCTGCTCTTTTCTTTGGTGAAGAAGAAGAATGAATTGTCTTAGGGTTTTGGGGCCTTTTGTTTGGAATATCATTTTTTTTTTTAAAGAAGTACGGTTAATTTACTTATCACGGGATATCGATATTTTTTAAAATAATTATCTATATTTAAAAATATTTAATAAATACCGACATCGTGAAGTCGATAATATTTAAATAAAATAATAATTTAAATATATCAACCTCTTAAGGTCGGTATTTATTAGTTTATATTAATATAACTCACTTCTTGAGGTCGATTTTATTAATTAAAATTA